TAGTGTCTTTTTTTTCTCCCTTTAGGGAAACTTATTCGTTCCTATTTTCTAATTGTTCGAAAGAACATACAAGATACTGTTCCAAAAGCAATAATGCATTTTTTAGTGAATTTTGTTAAAGATAATTTACAATCAGAACTTGTTGGTAAATTGTATAAACAAGATGAATACAATACATTGTTACAAGAAAGTGAACGAGTAGCTCAGCGCCGAAGAGAAGCTTCCGAAATGTTGAAGGTAAATAACTCATAGTCTACATACTCTGTTAATTCAATAAATATATGTACCAACTCATTTGTAAAATAACACCGAGTATTAGGATTACCCTATACACCTACATCTTTTAACTTATTCCTTTATAATTACTTTTATAAAAACTTTTGAATTCATAATTTTGCTTTCGCTCAATCAGTATTTGCCTGCTTATTATTAGAAAGCGGATATATATATATATATATATATATATATATATATATATAACATGGAGTTATAATAAAAAACCAATCGATATGAAATAATTCTCTGTATTCGTGTTTTTCTAAATAGCAGTTCATACTATTCCGTAAATCTTTCCTGCTCCAAACCGTAGGAAGTAAAATGCAAATATAAACTGGGTTTTATATTTGTATGACAATATCTTTTAGTTTATGTGCAAAAGAAATCTGATTTGATTCGTACTAATATACTGTTTAAATTTCTTCTTATAGGCTCTTCAGAAAGCCAGTATGATCATCGGTGAAATTCGTGAAACACATTTATGGTGATTAAATATTTCGGTATCATTGTTTGATTTTCAACAATAACAATAATTTACGTGTTTCGTTATTTCCTTCTTGTATTTCTAATATAATTTTTCGTTAATTAAAAGTATACATGTAGGCTTTTAACCGAATCATACTACGTGTGTGTATACATCATTTCTTTTGTGCCATTTAATCAACTATATCCATCTACATTTTGACTGTTATTTCGAAGTTCTTATCTCTTGTTATCTATGCTACCGTTACCACTAATGCAACAACTATCCAACGCACACTAAACTCACGTATCATCTTATAAACTAACCTAGCATAATAAGCGAACTATAAAAGATTTACTGTTTAGTAGTTTATAAGACTGATTATCATTCTGCAATGTCTTATTGTTTTCTTCGTAGGTTCCTTTTGTTTGTTATTGTGGTTTTCTCTTTAATTGTAGAAAAAAATGTACATCTCTCCTAACCTGTGTTTGTAAAAAGGCTTTTTATATTGTAACTGTTCTGCTATTGAGAATGTAATTATCTAAAAGAGCTATTATACATTTCTAACACACTCAATGATCTTAATTCTGCTAACTTTTCTCCCCGGTTTATTAATTATAAGCAGTCCATTTTTAGTTATACTTATTATGTATTTTCTGGGAGAGAGGGTATATTAATTGAGGTTAGTTGACATGATATCCTTTATAGTACTGCCGTGTCTTAATTTTAACCCGCATAGTCCGATATCCGCGGTAACTTCAGAACCAGTTCTGCAGAGGTTGAAAACTGTAGTCTTATCAATGTTCAAATAATAAATTCGGATAAGCTATGTAGATGATGCATTCGTCATTCTCTTTAAGGATCAGTTGGAAAATATCCACAGTTTCATCAACGGCATCTTCGATAACACGAAATTCACGTTAGAAGCGGAATAAGACAACAAACTACCATTTTTTCACATATTGATCATCAGAAAAAAATATGGAAAGACTGAAAACTTAAATCTATCGGGAACCAACACATACTGCTCAAATACTCATTTAAAACAGCAACAGTCCACTTGTTCACAAAATAAACTGTATACAAAGACTATTGTAGCACCGCTGTTGCGCCGGGAAATAAAAGAAAATATTTAATGGATTTATTCCAAAAAATGTCTACGCACAAAATTCCAAAAATTGCTTATCGAACGGACTATGCAATACACAATCAACGAAGAAGACCAGCGAACGAGTAAATTTACACTACATAAAGAGGATCTCCGAGATAACGAACAGTGTTAAAACTACTATGTATATAGGTGTAGTCTACGAGCCAAAATAATCACTGCAAACCAAAGGGCACAACGACAAACAGGGACAAGTCAACGATCTACAGTAGAAATTCATAGTTGTGTTTCTTTGAGATACTTCCTACTCTTCCTGTGTCGCTAGTCATGATGACCGTTATTAGATAACTCAATTGTGTCTAAATTTTAGTAAGCAATCGTTTGTTATTCAGCTCATCACAAAGACGCGAGCACATAAAGTGAATACAAACAGAATTGCGGATGCGAGCGACTGAATTAATAAATAAATAAATTAGTTAAGTTAAGCTAGCAAGGGGAATGTGTAGGCTGTGACACAATGATTATAATAACATAAAGGTAAAAACAAATTGTTGCTAACCGAATGACAGTCTCACATAATTTAAGCCAATGGTTTAGGAGAATTAAACGTATATTGAGGTGATATGTTATAAATTGCAGCTACTGCTACACGCTATGGGATAAAACGGCCACCGTCTTCGTTTACGTCTACATGAACACCAGTTAGTGACGCTACGTACCTTCGCTTATATCAGTTGATAGAGATGTGGGTTCAACTGGGACAGCGTTGAAATATTGTTCAGAAAAAATACAAAGAAAGCCGGGTGTTAAGTTTGTCCTACATTGTTCCTACACGTTCCCTTTCTACTCTTTTGTATATTGTTTTATACTACTTATTTACATTCAGTAAACAGTTGTATTCCCAACAATTTTCACACTTATGTTGTAACTCAAGTTGTACTGTAACATTCTGAAATGTTCACATATATCTTTAACGTTTATTGTATTTATCATTATAATTACTGTATCTTAATCGCTGTAGCCGTTATCCACAGTTTTGTGCATTTTTTTAAACTCAACAGTTTCTATATTGTTTTGCTCTTGGTTCGAGTTTCGGTTGCTCATAAACTGTTATAAAATTTAGACACAGCTATCGGCTGTCTTTGTACTATCGTATGTTATAATTATTCTTTATGTTACTATTACAGGAGGCCTTTGTTATTTTCATTCTTAAAGGACGCGTCTAAACGCCTAGACACATCACAAGTTGAGGTTTGTAACTAAAATTTGTGTATTATTTAATAAAGAACCGCTGTTGTTGACAAATCGTTGTTTTGGGAACTTCGGTTTTGCTCGTATCTCAACCGGGTAACTTGGACGCTTCGATAGATTTAACACCGGGGAATATTTAGAGGCCTGGGACTTTAATCAGGCATCATTCATTAGACATACCCAAACTAGTCGGACCTATCATCCAACAAGAAAAAGATTAAAAAAGCACCTGGGTCGAAGTTCAGGTCAGGCAAGAAATCAAATATACAAAACAACGACCATAGATATGGATAACAACCAACCAAATTTCAGGTCAATAGAACAAGCTGGTGGTCGATTGAGAAGAAATTCCAAGAGCTTACTTATCTTTGAAGGACGTGCTGATGATGTTCAGAAGAACTATGAATGCTCTACAATCAATCCAACAAGCAAAGATCACAGCAATAACAAATTTCATTATCAATCAATGTGTTTTAATGTCTATTACTGAGAACTTACCTATATGTACTTCCGTGGAGCTAAGTAAAGCATCAGTCTTCATAATGAACATCAACGGAAGTATAAAACAGTGAACAATCTACAAAAATTGTCTCGACATGACATGATAATAATCTTCTAATCTATCCCTATCAGTATAAACATACTAAAATTATACATACACTTGTAGGGAATAGAATTACGCCTTTAGAGAAGTATACCTATCAAAACGCTATGCATGACAAAGTTTTAAATTTCACAACTCCCAGGAAACTAACAATTTCAAAATTAGAATGATCACGATTGGTGATTTTGATTAAATAAACAAAAACATAAATGTCACTGTTAAGTTTGTTTTACATTGTTCCTACATGTTCCTTTTATACTCTTTTGTATGTTGTTTTATACTACTTATTTACATTCAGTAGGCAGCTGTATACCCAACAATTTTCACACTTATGTTGTAACTCAAGTTGTACTGTAACATTCTGGAATGTTCACATATATCTTTAATGTTTATTTTACTTATAACTGTATTTATCATTATAATCACTTTAATATAATTACTGTAAAGGTTATCCACAGTTTTGTGCATTTGTTTGAATGCATCAGTTTCCATATTGTTTGCTCTTGGTTCGAGTTTCGGTTGTTCATAAACTGTTACCAAATTTAGACACAGCTATCGGCTGTCTTTGGACTATCGAAGCTTTTGCTATTTTCATTCTTGAACGACGCGTTTAAACGCCTAGACACCTCACAAGTTGAGGTTTGTAACTAAATTTTGTGTATTATTTAATAAAGAACCGCTTTTGTAGACAAATCGTTGTTTTGGGACTTCGATTTCGCGCGTATCTCAATCGGGGTTACTTCGACGCTTCGATAGAATTAACAGTTCTCAACTTTGGTCTCATTTGGTGTGGATACAGTTCTGAACTCTGGTCCTAATTGGAGGGAATACTTGCTGTAACGAATTTGGTCGGAATCCTGTTTGGTTCATTCATCCCAACGATGACTAGAACGAGAAGAATGAAGTACAACGATGACAGTTCCCAAGACACAGACAATTCCAGTGCTGAAAATATTATTCCTTCAGTTTCTAAGGTGAACTCACCTATTCCTTTAAATCTTGCCTTTGATATTGTTAAACCTAACCCCAAAGACAGTTGCTCGGTAGGAGACAACTATATAGAGACTAGATACAGTGTAGAAGACGAAGTGGACTCTAGGGAAAGGGAAGTAGAAAAGATTGAGCTGGAGATTAGAGAACTCCAACTACGCAAGCGATTGCTAGAACTAACTCCGAACTCTTCAAACAAAGTGAGAAGACCTAGGGAGACTACCGAGTTGTCGGGGTCTCGATCCGAGGATAAGACTTCAGTAGTTACGGCAAGTCACCGATACACCAATGTACTTTCGAGCGATGAAATGCAATTCAAAGCACAGGTAGATAGTGTCAAGGCGTTATGTATGTCAGTAAGCTTACCGAAGATAGAAATCATGAAATTTGACGGGAGCCCTCTGAAATTTTGGACGTTCATGAAGGGATTCAAGGTTAACATAGCTGACAGAGTAAATGATGACACTCAGAAATTAATGTACTTGATACACTATTGCGAAGGTATAGCAAAGGATGCTATAGAACACTGTGTTTTATTACCAGAAAAGGAAGGTTATACTGAGGCAATTAAGCTTCTACATGAACGGTTCGGCAGACCACACGACATCGTAGAAGCCTTCTTAACAGAACTCTTAAGTGGATCACCATTGAATCAAGACGACATAACTGGCCTACAGAAACTGACAAGACTCATGACTAATTGTAAGATAGCCTTGTCACAGATGGGCAGGAATACTGATCTGAATTGTTCGACCAACATAAAACGAATAGTGAAACAGCTACCACGTAGTATGCAGTTTAAATGGGCGGAGGCCGCGGACGATATTTTAAGAAAGGGGCTAGAGCCCAATTTTGATGATTTATTGCAATTCTTAGAAAAGAAGGTGTCAATCGCCACAAACACATACGGACGGTTAGCAAGCGGAAGCTATAAAGCTCAAACGATATCGAACAACCGGTCGGCTTCCATAAGAGCTAAGATCCATACTTCGTTGATTAAAGGGACAGTCCATTGTGTAATTTGCTCCGATGCCCACGAAGTCGCATCCTGCCCTCAGCTGTTGTCAGTGAGTCACAACGAAAAGGTAGAATTGTTAAAGAAGTTTAAACTTTGCTTTAATTGCTTAAAACCCAATCATCGAGTCACAGAATGCAGACAGCCCGTGTTGTGTGAAATTGATGGATGCAAGCGACGCCATCATAGAATTCTTCACAACACAGAACCTGATGTTAAACGAGCATATTGTAACTCTACTCATACTACTAGGACGTATTTAGGCTTTGTTCCAGTCAGACTACATGGTCCCACAGGTTATGTGGATACCTATGCACTGTTAGATAATGGCTCGGATTCGACATTACTGCTTAGTGACGTAGCAAAGCAGGTAGGAATTTCTGGTGCAGGGACAAGATTAAACATATCTTCAGTAATTGGAGCGTCATCTCAGAACGCTGAACTTACCAATTTCGAAATTGAGTCTTTAGATAAGACCAACCGAATAAAAATCGAAGGTGCATATACTATAGATAACCTACCTATTAAAAGAGCAGAAATCCCACCAACGGACTTCCAAGAAAGATGGAAACACTTGAAAGGTGTACAACTACCCTCCATAGCCTGTGACAAGGTTGGTTTGTTACTTGGTGTTGACGTTCCTGAGGCCCACTGGGTACTCGATCAGCGTATCGGAAAACCTAAACAACCCTATGCTTCACTAACCATGTTAGGGTGGGCTTTATTTGGACCAACGGGTCAACCTAATAAAACTTCAGTCTTCATAAACTGTTTAGAAGCAAAGAGTTCTATCGAGGATGGACCCACGCCGCCCCTTACTTTGACCACAGTAGCGCCTGAAAACTCTTCACATCGTTTGTTGCCGTTCATAGATGATCCTGGTTTATGCCTTAAGCACTCTCCTGATGTGGCACTCTTAGTCGATAATGATGATGTACGCTCACTCATAGTAGCAGCAGCCGCTGTTGAGACTGAAGATTCCAGGGTTCATCAAGGCTTACCGTCAGTTCGTTCTTCTGGATTTAACACTCCACCTGATTCAAGAAGTAACCGACTTATAGACACCTTTGATTCTGTATCTAAAGCGACAGACGAGAATTTAATGGATTTAGAACAAGTTATTTCATTACCAGCTGTTGACGGTGAGTACCTTCTAAAAACTATCAACGATAGTCACGTCGATACAGTAGTGAATATTGACCTTAGATGTATTTCTCCTCCAGACAAAATTCTTCCAACAGATAGCGGCGAGTTAATGTCATCGAAAACATCTGTTATGTTCTCTGCCGAAACAGATCTCCCTAGTGTTTCTGACGTGAACGATAGTGCTAAGTCTGTGATACTACTACACGAGTCATCAATTAGTTGCAAAGCAACAACAACTCAGTTCTCTGCAAATACGAAACTTGTATCTCCTGTAGTGGCGTCTGCTGAAAGTTCTATTGACATCAAGCATGAAACAGAGAATCAGAAAGATGATTGTTTTATTCAGTATGCTGCTGATGATAAGAAGTTTAAGACAACTGTATCCATGTCTCCTTTAGTTGGGTTAGACAAGCAGATACAACATCCATTACCAGACTTTAAGGATAGTAGAGTAGCCAAAGAAATGACTCACCGGAACATAGAATGGCACCATAACACTCCTTACGCAAATCATCATCGAGTATGGGAAAGATTAATAGGAAGCATACGCAGACTTTTGAGCGCAGTATCTATGTCCTACGAGACACTCACCACCTGTTTGACTGAAGCAGAAAGAATACCTAATGATAGACCACTCTTACAGACGCGAACAAAATGGACACAAGGAAGACGAGATTTACAAGTTCTCGGTCCAGTCTTGATTATTGAGGACACTTATGCACGAAATAACTGGTCTAAACGCCTCGTGGTAAGTTTTGACCCAGGAGGAGATGGTCTATGGAACCAAGTGAAGATCAGAACGTGGAAGGGTACAATTATTAGAGGCATATGTAAAATTTGTTTATTAGAAGGAGCTGATGACCGAAAAGTAGAGGATAGAGAGACTTTTCAGAGTGACTGTGGCTAGAGTAAATCGTACCATTGTCACCTCTGAATGTTTTTACGTTAATACCTAATCAGCGAAAGTAAGGAAAGACATGCTGTCTTTGGGGGGCGGTGTTAAGTTTGTTTTACATTGTTCCTACATGTTCCTTTTATACTCTTTTGTATGTTGTTTTATACTACTTATTTACATTCAGTAGGCAGCTGTATACCCAACAATTTTCACACTTATGTTGTAACTCAAGTTGTACTGTAACATTCTGGAATGTTCACATATATCTTTAATGTTTATTTTACTTATAACTGTATTTATCATTATAATCACTTTAATATAATTACTGTAAAGGTTATCCACAGTTTTGTGCATTTGTTTGAATGCATCAGTTTCCATATTGTTTGCTCTTGGTTCGAGTTTCGGTTGTTCATAAACTGTTACCAAATTTAGACACAGCTATCGGCTGTCTTTGGACTATCGAAGCTTTTGCTATTTTCATTCTTGAACGACGCGTTTAAACGCCTAGACACCTCACAAGTTGAGGTTTGTAACTAAATTTTGTGTATTATTTAATAAAGAACCGCTTTTGTAGACAAATCGTTGTTTTGGGACTTCGATTTCGCGCGTATCTCAATCGGGGTTACTTCGACGCTTCGATAGAATTAACAGTCACAAAGATATCACACACAATCGATTGATTACTGCGTGGTGATAAACGTCATATATGTCAAGTACTTCTAAGTGAAGATCGACTAATATCGACCAAGTTGCAATGTGGCCACTATTCGAGGTGAATCGAAATTGCTTACAGTACTTTGAGATTAGATAGTGGCTGGATACAGTCAGCGGTAGAGTGTCATAGGGTGAGGCTGGGCGTAAAGAAGTCGAAAAGTAAGTGAACAAAATTTTCAAGAGAATAGCCGTAAATTATCCGGACAAATGTAGACAAGACGGAAAACCAGACAACAAATACATCATTAAATAAATGCATAGGAACATCTCTACACACTCGAGTGCACGTCCTTCAATCGGTCACACCAATTCCATCACCGTGATGTGCACTCCCCCGCGCACGCGCACGCACACACACACACACACAGATATAATTTGACATATATATACATATATATAAATATATATATATATATATATATATATAAATAAAGATATATGATGCATTCATCGTTCCATTGAACGAGTTGTGCTCCGATCTGATCCGGTGAATATCGGTCTCCCGAGAGGTGGGAGTGCACACTAATCCAACAACACCAGCAACAGTATCAATAAAGCAACACCATCACCAACATCATCGCCATCCAATCATTCCCATCAGGCACATGCACATTTCATTGTGCAGTGAATAACTGATCATTCATCATATCCAACTTCAAACAATCCTCAACCAGCATGTGCATGACCGACAGATTGTTCAGAATATTGGCATGCAGTAGTTTTTACGGTGTTGTGGATCAGGGCACTGACTACCAAGCATCAACCGATCAGGTTGGTATGTGCATTGCGCGTGTCGAATTGCACAACTCCATTCAACAGGCGTTTATGTACATGATGTTGGCTTAGCGAGCAATGTCAATTTTGGCATAGTGAGTGATGTGAAACATATTTTAGCAATGATTTTGATATGAGTGTAAAGTCACTGAGCCCGACGTGATTCGAACACGCAGCCTTCTGATCTGGAGTCAGACGCGCTACCGTTGCGCCACGAGCTCGCCGCATCTCTACCACACATCTAACACTCAATACAACTCAACTCATCCTCCTCCCTCAAAAACATCATCCTCTAACCGTTGTCTCTTCGTCCACTCACAATCCGCTCACAACTCGTCAATAGGCGAACGAGTATCAACATAATACACACATCACAATCAGTAAGCGCATCTACTCATTCGTTCAGTACAGTACAACTGTACACAATAGCTAACCGTCCACACGACACAACCACACAAACAAGCAAGCAAGTCGGAAAACAGTCACACCAAAAATCAAACTACTATCCCACTAAATGTATCACCAATCAACAACACGACATACTCACACACCTATTCATTCGCTCATGCAAACTACTATTCGACCGATTGGTCAATCGATCCATCAATCCTCCAACCGATCAATCATTCATTCACTGAACTGTCGGTTCGTGTCGACTGGATTCATCAATCTCACTGGAACGGAACATCTCTACACACTCGAGTGCACGTCCTTCAATCGGTCACACCACTTCCATCACCGTGATGTGCATTCCCCCGCGCACGCGCACGCGCACACACACACACAGATATAATTTGACATATATATACATATATATATATATACACATAAATAAAGATATATGATGCATTCATCGTTCCATTGAACGAGTTGTGCTCCGATCTGATCCGGTGAATATCGGTCTCCCGAGAGGTGGGAGTGCACACTAATCCAACAACACCAGCAACAGTATCAATAAAGCAACACCATCACCAACATCATCGCCATCCAATCATTCCCATCAGGCACATGCACATTTCATTGTGCAGTGAATAACTGATCATTCATCATATCCAACTTCAAACAATCCTCAACCAGCATGTGCATGACCGACAGATTGTTCAGAATATTGGCATGCAGTAGTTTTTACGGTGTTGTGGATCAGGGCACTGACTACCAAGCATCAACCGATCAGGTTGGTATGTGCATTGCGCGTGTCGAATTGCACAACTCCATTCAACAGGCGTTTATGTACATGATGTTGGCTTAGCGAGCAATGTCAATTTTGGCATAGTGAGTGATGTGAAACATATTTTAGCAATGATTTTGATATGAGTGTAAAGTCACTGAGCCCGACGTGATTCGAACACGCAGCCTTCTGATCTGGAGTCAGACGCGCTACCGTTGCGCCACGAGCTCGCCGCATCTCTACCACACATCTTACACTCACTACAACTCAACTCATCCTCCTCCCTCAAAAACATCATCCTCTAACCGTTGTCTCTTCGTCCACTCACAATCCGCTCACAACTCGTCAATAGGCGAACGAGTATCAACATAATACACACATCACAATCAGTAAGCGCATCTACTCATTCGTTCAGTACAGTACAACTGTACACAATAGCTAACCGTCCACACGACACAACCACACAAACAAGCAAGCAAGTCGGAAAACAGTCACACCAAAAATCAAACTACTATCCCACTAAATGTATCACCAATCAACAACACGACATACTCACACACCTATTCATTCGCTCATGCAAACTACTATTCGACCGATTGGTCAATCGATCCATCAATCCTCCAACCGATCAATCATTCATTCACTGAACTGTCGGTTCGTGTCGACTGGATTCATCAATCTCACTGGAACGGAACATCTCTACACACTCGAGTGCACGTCCTTCAATCGGTCACACCACTTCCATCACCGTGATGTGCACTCCCCCGCGCACGCGCACGCGCACACACACACACAGATATAATTTGACATATATATACATATATATATATATATATATATATATATATATATACATATAAATAAAGATATATGATGCATTCATCGTTCCATTGAACGAGTTGTGCTCCGATCTGATCCGGTGAATATCGGTCTCCCGAGAGGTGGGAGTGCACACTAATCCAACAACACCAGCAACAGTATCAATAAAGCAACACCATCACCAACATCATCGCCATCCAATCATTCCCATCAGGCACATGCACATTTCATTGTGCAGTGAATAACTGATCATTCATCATATCCAACTTCAAACAATCCTCAACCAGCATGTGCATGACCGACAGATTGTTCAGAATATTGGCATGCAGTAGTTTTTACGGTGTTGTGGATCAGGGCACTGACTACCAAGCATCAACCGATCAGGTTGGTATGTGCATTGCGCGTGTCGAATTGCACAACTCCATTCAACAGGCGTTTATGTACATGATGTTGGCTTAGCGAGCAATGTCAATTTTGGCATAGTGAGTGATGTGAAACATATTTTAGCAATGATTTTGATATGAGTGTAAAATCACTGAGCCCGACGTGATTCGAACACGCAGCCTTCTGATCTGGAGTCAGACGCGCTACCGTTGCGCCACGAGCTCGCCGCATCTCTACCACACATCTTACACTCACTACAACTCAACTCATCCTCCTCCCTCAAAAACATCATCCTCTAACCGTTGTCTCTTCGTCCACTCACAATCCGCTCACAACTCGTCAATAGGCGAACGAGTATCAACATAATACACACATCACAATCAGTAAGCGCATCTACTCATTCGTTCAGTACAGTACAACTGTACACAATAGCTAACCGTCCACACGACACAACCACACAAACAAGCAAGCAAGTCGGAAAACAGTCACACCAAAAATCAAACTACTATCCCACTAAATGTATCACCAATCAACAACACGACATACTCACACACCTATTCATTCGCTCATGCAAACTACTATTCGACCGATTGGTCAATCGATCCATCAATCCTCCAACCGATCAATCATTCATTCACTGAACTGTCGGTTCGTGTCGACTGGATTCATCAATCTCACTGGAACGGAACATCTCTACACACTCGAGTGCACGTCCTTCAATCGGTCACACCACTTCCATCACCGTGATGTGCACCCCCCGCGCACGCGCACGCGCACGCGCACACACACACACAGATATAATTTGACATATATATACATATATATATATATATATATATATATACATATAAATAAAGACATATGATGCATTCATCGTTCCATTGAACGAGTTGTGCTCCGATCTGATCCGGTGAATATCGGTCTCCCGAGAGGTGGGAGTGCACACTAATCCAACAACACCAGCAACAGTATCAATAAAGCAACACCATCACCAACATCATCGCCATCCAATCATTCCCATCAGGCACATGCACATTTCATTGTGCAGTGAATAACTGATCATTCATCATATCCAACTTCAAACAATCCTCAACCAGCATGTGCATGACCGACAGATTGTTCAGAATATTGGCATGCAGTAGTTTTTACGGTG